GATTTTAATTGAGTTAGATGAAACAAACACTACTAAAAATCAACTTTTCACATGCAGATAATTATCAACGAATTGTATTCATTGCTAATCAGAAACGGATTATTAGTTGGTAAAAGTATTAGACTTTTAACTATGAACAACGAAATTTTCGTTGGTAAAAGTGGTAGTTCTTCACCAACGGATATTTCATGCCTAATGTTGTTGTTTAATACACTTATCATTTACCAACAACATTTCCATAGGTGATAATTCAACCTTTTTTTTTTTAGAAAATGTGTCAACCTTTCACGTTTGGATTTTTCGTGAGTGAAGAGTAGTTCATATTACCAATAGAATTGTCGTTGCTAATATTAATCAATTTTAATAATTAAATACAAACACAAACATTCTTCTACGAATAGGGTAATTAATCTTTTCAAAAAAATAAAAAAAAAAAAGCCTCTTCACGAATGAAAATTTTGTAGGTGAAGATTAATTCATATTACCTAGAGAAAATCCGTTGATGATATTAAGCAATTTTAATAATGCCAAACCAATTTTTTTTTTAATCTCACTTCAAAAGTTCACAACAAAATATTTAGATGGCCTCTATAAATTAGTGGTCTAATAAGTGATTATATAACATTTTGAACCTTTCAATTCAATTGGCTAACAGTTAAAAAATTTATAATTATTAAACAATTAAAAAATAAAATTGTCACGCCTCCCACCTATGCTGCTATTTACAACGCTAATTTTTACCTATTTTAATGGTAGACATTTACCAATGAAAAATCGATTGGTACTGATTAAGATTTTTACCAACAAAATTTCTTCTTTACCTATGACGCAATCTGTTGATAATTATCAGTGACCCTCAAATTAACAATGGATTTGTGGTTGCTAATATTCCGTTGAAAAAAAGTAATAACAACGGATATCTTAGTTTAAGAACGAAAAATCTGTGCCTAAAGTCATGTTTTTTTGTAGTGAAGGTAGGCCGAAGTGAGTCAAATGTGTAGCGTTAACTCAACCTAGAATCGAGATCAAACAATATGAACTTAAATATGTAGAGAAGCTACAATACCAATTCATTTAAGATATTAGAAAGAAAGAACATTGACCTTATATCATTTTATCTTACTCGTACTTCACTAGGAGACCACTTGAATATGAATAAATTCATCTCCACCTTTAGGATGATGAATTTGATAGTTTTAGACAGCATTACGAAAGACATACGTGTGACAAAATTTGTTTAATTATCATATGCATATATACTAAACACATCTATATAGTAAGGCCAAATTTTCTACATTGACTACACACCAACCGAGCACGTTATCACGAAAATCACATAAATATATTATGAAACTTCGACATTGAAGTCTAAGAATTAAATGAAAAATAGAATAGAGAATGAAGAAAAAGATACAGTT